TAGATCGATGCTCAACCGCTGAGCCACGCCCGGCCGGGGAGGAAACTGTTCCTGACATAGCGCCCTGGCTACAGCAATGACACAGGAGGAACTTCACAGCAACTGAGGACCGTTCATGAGAATTTCCTTTTGTTTCTAGTATTGTACAGCTTGAAACACACTTTCTTATACATCTCAGGCCAACAGAGGCTAAACAAATTGAGCTACCAATCTAGGTTATCAATACTTTCAAAAAGGTAAGCAGGGGGGGTTTAGACAGGCATCTCCAGGGAGAGCTATCGGAAGGTTTTAAGCAAGAGGGTGACAAGAAAGGTGGTCAGTTTGAGAAATAATGTGGAAAAGGGTGAGAATGTTGGTAGAGAGGCTCACAACCCAAAGCTGGATGAGAGAGGAGCTACAGGGCCTTCCCGCCTGCTTGTTAAACTGCGAGACCATAGAGTAGATCCGTATATTTATTTTTTAGTAACTACGGCCTGCACCAGACATCAAAGGTTAAATAAAATCTGGGGCTCAAATCGGCCCTGAAAAAACTCGGCATTTTATTTATTTAGTTTTGGGGTTTGTTTTAAAGCGCTTTCTGGCAAAATTACTTGCTCCCAGTCATAGGAAAACAAATACCGGGACACCAAGGGTGTTGAAGGTCAGAATTAATATGCTTTTATTAATTAGTCTATCAGAAGAAGTCTGCCCGGCCTGCGCCTTTACTGCGACTGCTTATAATCAGCTCTCCTTTAATGAAGTGCTTAAAAGTCCTAATTTACTAGCAATAATAAAAAAATAGCAACAATAATACAGAAATATCATCCGGTAAGAAAATATAAAATATGGGCTTTTACAGCCTATTGATTTTGGTTGCATTTCTCTTTCCACAGATGGGTAATTAATTGAACCTCTGGATCCTACAGCATTTTCGTTCAGCCACTTTTGGGGGAAGACGGGTGAAATACTAAGGGAACACCGCGTGTGACCACCACACAGTGTCCTTGAGCGGCATTATTAGGAAGAAAGTGTGCAGAGTTCTCATCTGCAAGGCGCTCAACAGCGGTAATCACATTTCTTGCGAAGACAAATAAAAGGGAATTACATCCAGGTGCGCACGTACGCCCGCGTCCCCCGTGGCCTGCAACAAAGATCTCCCCACGGGCAGCCGCGGGTTTCTGGGCAGGGTCACCAGGAAAGGCTGGTGTGATTGGCATCCAGATGCTGCAAGAGTCAAACATGCCCCCCTTCCCCCCCCAATGATCATGGGCCTGTTTTCGCTAATAGGAAAAAGACAAGGGACAGGGGAGAGGGGTCACCCCTGGAATGCCAATCTGAGCTGCACGGCGTTTTCTGCTTTCACACCTCCTTTGGGTCCCTGGCACTGCTTGGGAAAGACTAAGCTCTTTATGGAAATCGAGTGGACTGACTCTGAATTTCTGAACAAAATGGGCATTCCCCCCCGCCCCCCTCTGAAGACACAGTGATCTGTCTCCCCTTTGGCTTCCAGCAGGGAGGGGAGGCTCCCTTTGCTCTTTCTGTTTTGGACGAAGGGAGTCCCGTTAACTCCACGCAACCAGGAGAATATTTCACCCCGAGCGCCTTCGTGACCTTCTAGTTACAAGATCAGGACACTGGGCCGAGCTGGCTGCTGCTGTGCACCCTCGGGTGTAACCCAGGCCTGGACCTCCCACCTGATACTGAGTCATTCCCCCACCATCACCAGGTTCATCAAATGAGTAGAGATAGAGTCAACTTCTGTTAATCATCAGCTGTGAGCAAAATGTAATAAAAAAGGACCATATAACGGAATGACCTATTTAAAAATCTCGGGGTTTTTTAAACTCACGGATGCCTTGATAACAACCTCTGCTTTGAATTTTTGAGGCTGCTTAAAGATTCGATAGTCACAGATTTAAACTTCTGGAAATTAAAGGCCTCGGTCATTTGGCACAACCCTCGCTTTAGTAGATGACAGCGACAACGCCCACAGGAATGGAGCCTGTCCATGCCCCCACGCTACGTAGGTTAACTTAATTTTCAATAACAATATTAAATACCGCATTTTAATACAGAATACTGCCTACGACTCATACCCGAGATATAACATCTAGGCAAACATATTTTGTCTGTGTAAGAGCAAGCGAATTAATAGAATGTTGATTTTATAAATTGCAGCAGACTCTTAGAAAAGCTCCCGCTCCATCATTGGCACTTAATAAATATTTGTTAAATGGGTAATAGTTATCAGCTAATGTCTAATGACTGTTGAGTAATCTGTGTGGCAGGCACTGTGCAAAGCTTATTAGGTGGGCTCCCTCCTTTAATCCTTCCCACCTGCTGGATATCAATATGGTTAGTAGTAGTATTATCCCAACTTTAAAGGCAAGGAAATAGTCACAAAAATGATTAAGTGGTTTGTCTAATTCCACTTAGCTAACAAATAATGGGGCATGGATCTGAAATGTATCAGCCAGTCTGCTCCCAGAGCCGTCACTCTTAATCACACAGAAGTGAGGGAGTTAATATATGGCCTTAAATTTATACTATGATGTAAATGACTGATAATATACTCTTCCTGGATATTAGAGAGTTTTGAAAGAACACTGTATCAGAAAGGAAAAAAAAGATAAAAAAATAAAAATGGGTTCATCCGGTTACATTTCTACAAGCCAACAGAGCCAGAGAACCAAGCCAATAACCTGAGGGCGGAGGACCTGAGTAGAGGCTTCTCCAAAGAGGACACCCAGGTGGCCAACAGACACAGGAGGAGATGCTCAATATCACTCATCATCAGCGAGATGCCAATTAAAACCACAATGAGGTATCACCTCACACCTAGAATGGCTCCATCAATAAGTCAACAAACAAGTGCTGGCGAGGGTGTGGAGAAAGGGGAACCCTGGTGCACTGCTGGTGGGAATGCAGACGGGTGCAGCCACTGTGGGAAAACAGTATGGAGGCTCCTCAAAAAAATTAAAATAGAACTCCCTTACAACCCAGCAATTCCACTTCTGGATTTTTATCCAAAGAAATACAAAGCACTAATTTGAAAAGATATAGGCACCCCTATGTTCATTGCAGCATTATTTACAATTTTCAAGATATGGGAGCAACCTAAGTGTCCGCTGATAGAAGTTTATAGATGGAGGACCTGGTACATAAATGCAATGGAATATTATTTGGCCATGAAAAGAACATCAGGAAGAGAAAGACAAATACCCTATGATATTACTTATATGTGGCATCCCCAAACACAAAATAAACTAACAAAACCAAAACTAACTCACAGACACAGAGAACCAACTGGTGTTTGCCAGATGGCCGGGGGTTGGGGGGCTGGGTGGAAAAGGGGAAGAGATTAAGAAGCACAGATTGGCAGTTACAACATAGTCACAGGGATGTAAAGTGCAGCTTAGGGGATATAGTCAATAATATTGACTCTATAATTACAATAATATTGTAATACGTATAATGTCAGTTGAGTACCAGGTTTATCAGTGGGATTACTTTGTTAGGTATATAAATGTCCAATCACTATTCTGTACACCTGAAACTAATATAATAGTGAATGTCAACTGTCATTGAAAAATAAGAATTATGAAACAATTTTTAAAACCCAATAACTTGATATAGACTGATTACTTTTAAAGTTAAAGACAGCCTTAAAATGAAGGCAAAGCTACTAGTATAAGGGGCCAGTGATGCCCAGGGACGTGCCGGACGCAGAAGAATATTTTCTCCAGGAATGGCCAAAGCTCCAGGGAGCAGCTCGAGCCAGAACTGCGACCCCCCTGCCTTGTCCTTCACACGGCGTGGACCCCAAACACATTTCCTGTGCAGCTGGAGGCTTCGTTACAGACAGAAGGACCCCGGTTCGGTGAGGCCCGTGGTTACGGCCTAACTTTTTTAAAGCGGAATTTGGAAAACTTCCCAGACGGTACATCTGCCCCGAGCCCTCGCGCCTCGGAGTATGAGGCCGGCTCCGGAGACAGCGCAGACGCCTAACCGTATTAGCGGCGGACGGGCCACTTCATCTTTCGCTGCGGCGACAGTGGGTGATCCCATCAGAAACCTGTCCTCCGGCTGCCGGCAGATCCGAGCTGACACGCTCGCGGAGCTACACCCAGGCGAGGGAGCGACGCTGCTCCTCGAGGAAACACACCGCGAGCCAAACGGTGGGCCGGGGAGCTCGTTTCTATTTGCATTTGAGAAAAAGTCTTACGTTTTAAGATACCTGCTTTTTCTCTTTTCCTTCCTTCCTTGGACGTTTTCTTACCCTAAGCAGACACTGAGCATTTTAGGGGGCTCGTGGATGCCTTTGTGGCTGTGACGGTGCCGAGGTACCAGGGCCAGTGAAGCTCTCATTAACCCCATGCGTCTCAGCGGGAGGGTAATCATGATTCATTACACTTGTGCATCAGCAGCCAGCTGCACCGAAAAGCAAACTGTTTACTACGCTTACCTTAGGTGCACACAGAAACAGCGAGATGCGAGCTACATTTTACAATGCAAGTTCCATTTCATTGTCCTCAACTTAGGCACCATTTGCGTCTGTGCGTGTTTTACTGAATTTATTGGGGTGAGGCTGGTTAACAAAATTATACAGGTTTCAGGTGCACAATATTCCACATCATCTGTACACTCTATTGTGTGTGCACCTCCCCAAGTCAAGTCTCTGACCATCACTATTTATCTCTCCTGTACCCTTCCCCACACCCCCACCCCTCCCCCTGGCAATCACCCCATTGTTGTCTGTGTCCATGAGTTTTTCTGTCTATTTATTTCCTCGATCCACTTTTCTCTTTGCTTTCCACTACTTACCCCACTTTATTTTTCCCCCCTCGAATACTAAAAAGACAGACATAAGGAGACACAATCAAGCTAAAGTTACCAAAGAGTCGAATTCGTGTTTCTATAAATAGGCATGGTAAAAATTCATTGTAAAGGGACATCAAAATTATTAAGAAACCCTTCGGGTCTTTGTGCCTCTTGAATAAAGGGACGTCAGACACACTCACCGGTGAAGTCTGTGTTGACAGGGTGAGTGGAGCTGGGAAACTTATAATATCCGTGTCCTGGGAAACGGATTCCTTTCAGCACCCTGGCCCCCGGGGCGGGCAGAGAGGACTCCCTCCTTTCCAGCTGGTAGATGGGGGGAGGGCCATTCGGTTCCTCAGGTGCCAGCCATCGGGCGTGGATGGCTGTGCTGTTGGCTCCTTCGACCACGGGAGGCCTCAGCCGGGCTGGTGCTAAATGCAAGAAGACGCTCGTTACACTCGAGAACTTGGTTCCTGTCTCTAGACACAGATACGGACACGTGCGGACACACCCACTCCTGTGCATCATCCTCAAAATCAAACCGCTAGGCTCTCAAGCGTGTACAGGATTCTAGGGGCCAAAAACACAAGATGCACTTTATCTAAAATGGGAAGAAGCGGTTTAAATGACTAACTGAAGATACAGTGGCTCGGAGGGTGGTCAACTCACCCCGCCCCCCCACGAGCAAAACGAAACACACATGTACCGAGGTAGCAATTACTCCTGCGAGACAACTGAGCCAACGCTGAAGGGGCAGCTGCTGACAACCGCCAAGACAGAGAGGAAGGAGAGGCTGGGACCCGAGGGACAACCTGGTGCCCGCGGGAACTCTCAGGGCACAGGAGCGCATGTTGTCCAGGTCCCCTCCACCGTGCTGAGCTACAGGTGCTCTATTGAGGGGCTTTGACTTACCTGCAAGATCCTCTAGCCTGCTCCTTGCAGCTGGCCTGGAGCCCTGTGCCTGGAGCCCTGTGCCTGAGGCCCTGGCCTGGCCTGGAGCCCTGTGCCTGGAACCCTGGCCTGGCCTGCAGCCCTGGCCTGGCACCCTGGGCCTGGAGCCCTGTGCCTGAGGCCCTGGCCTGGCCTGAAGCCCTGTGCCTGGAGCCCTGGCCTTGCCTGGAGCCCTGGCCTGGCCTGGAGCCCTGTGCCTGGAGCCCTAGCCTGGCCTGGCCTGGAGCCCTGGCCTGGCCTGGAGCCCTGGCCTGGCGCCCTGGGCCTGGAGCCCTCTGCCTGGAGCCCTGACCTGGCCTGGCACCCTGTGCCTGGAGCCCTGGCCTGGCCTGGAGCCCTGGCCTGGCCTGGCCTGGCCTGGCGCCCTCTGCCTGGATCAAAGGCAGCAGCCAGCAGAAACAACAGGGCATCCACCCACACCCGGCCTCCCAGCCTCCAGCGGCTCCTCCCTGTAGGCCGGGGCCCCAGGCACCCTGAGCGCCTACCTGGCTCCCAGCTGCTTCCCAAAACTACCCGGCACAAGGAACCTGCACAGAGAGGTCCCTTCTACAGGAAACCACTTTTGGTACAACAACCACAGAGAGACGGCATAGAGAAGGCCAGGAGCCCGCAGGCCGCCCCAGGAGCTGTGGGAGTTCCTGAAGTCGAAGTAGGAGGGGCTCCTTTAGCTCCACCTCCAGAGGGTGGGCGGGGCCTCTACCCAGATGCTTTGGCCGCCCGCAAGGTCCCCTGAAGCCCACTTTACCAAATGAAGGGAGCGGTCAGGATGGACTGGGCATAACTACGGGCACCTGGCCTCTCCAGCTGAGCATGCAGGCGGCTGCCTGTCCATGGTTCACTCTCACATCCATGTTTCTCTCTCCCTTTCCCTTGCTCTCTCTCTCCAATAAAATCAGCGAAGAAAAAAAAAATCTTAAAAAAATAAATACATGTAATTGCTTTAGGTTTTACAAAACAAAATTCCATATCAATACAAGGCACTGTTATTAGCAGCCGGCAACAACACACCTTTTAAATTACCTATGATAAAATACTGTTCATCCGCATTCAAAATCTATGAGTATTTACTCAGAAAATCTTCTTATAAATGTGAAGGATGAAATGGAACTTCAATATCCATCATTTCAAAGAATAGCAGCATACAGTCTGTTTTCACATCGAATAAAGTGACAATGTCTTTGTATTTTTTGCGATAGCTCTGTAATCCGATTTCCAGTCTGTCTCTTCCCTTTATAAGCAGTCTTTTATAAAATGCTGGATAATCTATAGTCTTCTCTATGCAGCATTTATTGCTTTATAATCTGATTAATAGCATATCATTATGCATAAATTTACACTTGCAGGATTTATGTAGTGTGGAGTTTGAGCATCATCGGAGAAGAGCTGAAGGCTAAATGAGCAGAGGCTCCTGCTGACGACAGGCCTTTAAAACCAAATCTCTTTATTTATCCTCAACGAAGAGTCTGTTGTCTAGGAAGACAGCAGGGGCACGTCAACATCTTAAAACATCACCAACTTCGTGCATTACGGAGGCCGGGATCCAGGAATGAATGACTCTCCCGCATTTCAGGAGTGTGTTACGGAGCAGACTAATGTAAGACGTCCTCAGGCACCGTGTCAATAGAAAACGATTTTGACTTTTTCTCCGACTTGCACTTGGCAACTGACCTCCTTCAACTGCTCTTCAGTCAGTGGCCAGAAGAGTAAAAGATTCCCCCCACCCCCACCCCCACACTCTCAGAGATCGCACTCAGTGTCGCCCTGTTGGCGATCTAGTCTCTGACCAGTGGAAAAGGAATGAAACCTGTTTTACCATTTCCTTCTTTGTTTACGAGTCTCCGAGAGAGAATGTATGTGTAGCCCGGCCGGCGTGGCTCAGGGGTTGAGCGTCAACCCATGAACCAGGAGATCTCGGTTGGATTCCCGGTCAGGACACGTGCCTGATCCCCCCAGTAGGGGGCGTGCAGGAGGCAGCCGATCAATGACTCTCATCATTGATGTTTCTCTCTTTCTCTCCCTCTCCCTTCCTCTCTCTGAAATCAATAAATAAAAACATATTTGAAAACAGAGAGAGAATATGTGTCGTGAAACTGACCTGGTAAAGGGGAAAAATGTAGGTTCTCCGCTGGCTAAGCCCCCTCCTTCTGGAACACTGGAGAACCCATGACTCGGTCTGTCCTTTAATCTCTCATCTGTTGAGGAGCAAGATGGACTTGACAATGTCGAGCATCTCTTCCAGTTCCAAAGGTCTGTGATGGGACATTTTCAAGCGTTGCTTCTCAGCGAGTAAACCAGGAGAGGTGCTGGACAAATGCGTCCCCTCAGCTCTGAGCTGCCATGTGTCTTGACCCTGGCCTGGCATATAAACATTACCATGTTCCCGTGTTCTGTGACACGACCAGAAGCCAGAGAGCGTGTTTTCAGGACTTTAAGGGACATCCCCTCCTCGGTGAGTAAACACCGCCTTGATCAGCCGTCATCCTGGTGACCGACCATAATCTGCAGGTCACTAGGATCCTACCTGTGAAGAGGGAAGCAGAGCCCCGATTTCTGAGCTGCAGGTGGAGCAGCCAGGATGACCCTGAGCACTGTTCCCTAGTGTCCACCGCTAATAAAAGGCGGTGGCCTGGACTGTAATTATGGCATTCTTGCTACCCCAAACTCGAAGCTTTTATGGGGCTCCTGCAATTATCTCCTTAAATGCATCGTAACGCTTGCCTCTCTGACAGCAAAGTATTGATTTTTTAATCATTTTCCAGTCTCCTCCAGCACAAATAAATGTACTACAGTTACAGTTAATGCACTGTGTACATGCATTAAACGCGGGCGAGCTGCAATTTATTATTTGGTGATACGGAGAACTGAAGTCTGGCTTCTCAGAAAGGAGTGTCACGGGCTCAACACTGGGATGGAAACTACCACTGTCCTTGGTGCTCCCAGTCCTCTAATTTCTAGGGACCTTTATTTTTTATAGGATACTTAGGCTTAAAAAAACATAAGGTGCTGAATATAAATCTTTTATACTTGTCGGCATCGGATGAAATCAAAACTAGTCTCACAGAGAAGATATGGGTTGTATTTTCCCCAAGGTGTCACTTGAGGAACCTATGGTAACTTTGTTCAGATGGATTTTTGTCTATTTAATTTCTTTCCCTGCATGGACTTAGGGCGCATCTATCCAAATATTTTGCATACTATACGGGCTGATGCAATTTTCACGAATGATTGTGTTGTTTTAATGCCTTACTATATACTTAGTGCATCACAAAGCTAAAACAGTGTCTTAGTCTTAAAAAGCGTGAACTCCGAATGCCATTTCTGTGCCCCAGAAAGGCCAAGTACAGGCCCCCAGCTGAAGCCATGTATCTAAATACAGACCCTGAGACAGAGGTCACCACGTATTTCACCAACAAGCCTTTTCCTTCTGCGCATCCGCACATCTGAAATTAAAGCCGGCGAGTCAAAGCAGTTAATTTTGTTTTGTGGGAAATAATATCATTTTAGTTTTAGCATCTAAGACAGATGCCAGCGTTTCCCTGTGAACAGATGGTAATTCCATCTAATAGTGCATCTCTGTATTAGTGAGGTCTGTTGTGTATACAAACAGTAATAAACAGTAGGTAAGGATCAAAATAAATTTTAATTGTTGACATTAAATCCTGGCAGCCACAGTTCTGGGGCTGCAATATCCCTTTCTCAGGCCTGTCAGATTTACGGATGCTGCAGGAGCGACGCCGGAAGCTGCCAGGCCCCGGTTTCCATAAAGAAATGTTCCCGTGCTACCAGTCACTGGTTCACGCCGGGATACATGTTTTCCTACACTGCAATAATTCTTCTAGAATGACACGGAATCGGGGCGACCCTCTCTGTGTCGGTCTGCCAGGATTTCTCTTAGAACGATCCCGAAGGACTGAATGTTTAATTAAGATGTTGCTATAAAATGTTATGTCCCGTTGTTGCATTGGGGTGGGGGGGGTCACGGTATTATCACGGTCACTTGTATAGCTTGCTAAGTAAGGGTCTCCCGTTCAACTGATGCTATTCTACGTGCCAATCGGGGCATCCCTGAACTTCTCGAAAGTGACATCATTCCTATCATTTGCTTGGCTTTGCCCAAGCCTGAAGGGCCTCCCTGACAACCCCCGCTCGCACCGGTGGCCCTCCTCTCGGCTTTGCGGTAAATCGAGTGCGCCAACAAGCACCCGTTCGGTTCTCCGAGGGCCTCCAGCGACCTGGCATATTACAAGTGGGCCGTCGCTATTTGTTTTAGGAAGCTGCCATGTTAAAAAAACAAAATATTATTAAAAAAAAAAAGAAAGAATTTGGCATTCGGGTGACTCTTCAATAACAAACATGCTCTGCAATCATATTTCTTTAAAAAATGGATGCTTTTTTTTTTTAAATCATGAAAAATATATTGCTTCCACCATATGGGACAACCAACGACTCACCAACCGATTTAAGAGGCAGCATATTGAGCTGACCATATGTTACAGTACTGCTGAATGGCTGAGTGATTCATGCCTGTCACATGCTAGTATATCAATTAAAGCTCCTTGAAGTCTGCATGATTTGTGTCTCTGTTATTAAACCCTGCTAATTCATCCCACTTACACATCTGTTATAAATCTCGAGGAGCGCCGCATGATTCATGGCGCTCCGTGCGCATGCTACAGCAAATTCTGCTCCTTGTAATTAACAGTAAATTGTTTTACTGCCATGCAATGAATTTTTCAGTTATATTGCAAATGAACTCCTAAATGTGCGGTTCTTTCCGAAGGACCGGCTTATATCATTAGGCAATTAAAAAGTATTGCCCTCCACCAAAGGCTTTTAATCAAGAGAAATACAACTGAAGCGTTGCTGGAGAGCCGCGGAAATTCGACGTGGTGGGGAGAAGGCCCGAAGTGGTTCTGTCGTTGGCCCAGCAAAACAAACAAACAGGCCGACAGGAACAGGCCTCCGTGTCCTCGGGGTGTCGCCGAGGCTCCGGGGCTGCCTGAAAGGCCCGGGCGAGACGGGTCTGCGCGGACGGCGCTTGTCTCGGAGGCCCCCGAGGTCACCTGTCGCGGCCAGGTTCCTCAGATTGCTTTCCATGTCTCCCGCTGCAGCGCGGTGCCTTGACTCGCGGAATAAATAATTGGATAATTAGCCCGGCGGAATCATCAGAGGATTCCTGGGCTGCTCGAGTGTTCTTTGCAAAGGTGAAGCCAATTCATTTCAGCTCGCCTCTGCAGCTCTTCCGAGAGAGCCTTTGATTCCCCC